GGCTTCCTTCCTTCCTGTCAGCCAGACCTCTAGATAACTATTTTGTTCTTCTGCCTCATTTACCCTGCCTATTATAATATCCAATTTAGAATACATCTCATTCATAACATTTTTAAGTTAGGCCAGATTAGATCTCATATCTGCCCTTATAGATTTTATATTGTCACTAATGCTTTTTGCAAGCCTAGCTATTGACTTCATAATTGCTACCATGAAGTCTATCTCTAACATTTTGCTTATGTCCATATCCATTATATCTGTGGCAGAGACCATTGTCTCTGGTTCTTTTCTTTGTTGGGAATTTCTCCTCCTAGTCATTGTTTTGAGGGATGGTTGAAGGAATGTACAGAGCCCAAAATATCAACCGTGACCCAAGCTAAATGCACCCTAGGAAAATATGGAGTGTTCAGAAGCCACCACCAAAAATAAATAAATAAATAAATAACCAAAATGAAAAACAAGAATAATATTTATAAAACTTTAAAAAATTAAAAAGTGGGTGAGAGGAAGGGGGCATATAATCTCTCAGTGTGGACAAATTTGGATGTTTCAGTTTTTCCTGAGTGTATTTTGGTCTGTTTGTTAGAGAACATTACTTCCTAAAATTATAAGTAAAATATAATGTGTGTGTGTGTATGGACACATATATATGTGTATATATGTATATATTTGTGTTTATATGTATTTACATACATATATGTGTGTATGTGTATACATACACATACACACATATACACATATACATATACACATACACACATATATGTATGTAAATACATATGTGTATATATACATATACACATACATACATATATACATATATATGTATACATATATATAAATACTGAGTAGGGGAATAAAGGACTATAATGAAACATATATCTATAAAAATATAGGTGTAAAAAAGTACAAGTTAAAAAGCTACTATGAAATCTCTAAGTTGATATCTTAAATATTGATATCTTAAATATCTAGTTTAAATAAGAACAAGGTAAAAAGAAAACAAAAAACAGAAGCAGCATAAGGGAAATAATAAAAAGTAAAAGAGAGTTTTATCTGAAAAATAAACAAGCTGTGAGGAAATGCCTGGAGCTCAATATACTATTTTCCCCTGGTGTTGGGATTTTACAGTCTTATGGGGAACACAAAGTTGTGGTCCTCTTGTTCTTCCAGCCTGTTTTCTTAGGGAGGGTCCTACTGCACTGTTTCTCAGACAACCCTGCTTGGGCAGATTTGCACTGCTCCCTTTGGGGAAATGCTGGTCTCAGTGGAAACCCATTTTTTTGAGCCTTTGTTCTCTGGCAGCTTTCTGCACCTCTTCCAAGGGTCAGAGCAAAAATGGCCACACCCAAACATCTGTCCTAGGGCAGAGAATTTGATGTCTGCTCTCTTCACTAAACCCTCCAGAACACAGTTTCCGTTTCTGCTGTCTCTGATGGTGTGTGCCCACAGTTACTCTCTCAGAGGTCATTCCAGGTGCCCCAGCATGTCCCTGCCTTTTGTGCTTCTAAAACTGGGAGCAGCCATGCACACCCCACAGCTCCTGGATCATGTCTGGGTGCCACTCTAAAGCCCTTTCCTGGCTGCTACTGTTCTGTGAATTTTTTCCATCCCTGGCACAGGAGGCTTTTGCACTCTGGTAGTATATAAATTTCCAGGAACCAGCTTATGGAGGCTCCCTTCCCCTTCTGTTTATCTTCTGATATCTTCCTGCAGATTCACAACTCTGCCCTTTCTACCTGGTGACAGGCAGTGTTTTTCTGCTTATAGAGACCCAGATATATATTCTTACATCTCAGGCTTATTTTGTAGATGTTCAGAATGATTTGTTAGATATCTAGCTAAATACAGGGGGCTGGTTGAAACGCAGTCCCCTACTCCTCTGCCATCTTGCCTCTCCTGAGATTAATATTTTTAATTATTATTTTTATGGCTGTCATATGCATTTATCATAATGTTTTATTTTTTTTAATTTTTCTCTTTTAATGATAAAATGAATACATGGCCTTAATAACCATTTAAACACATACCAAAGTCTAATAAAGTTTAACATTATTTTCCCTTCTCTGTCACTCCTGTGCTCTGTGAGATAATCAGTATAATTGTGGTATGCCTATTTCCATACTTATGTTCATATAAGCATATATACAGATAAGGCTTTTTAAAAACTTTTTTACTTACAAAATTATACCAAACATATTACTCTGTAACTTGTTTTTTTTTTTAACTTAATTTATCATAAGTAACTCTCTAGATGAGGAATACAGAATCTAACTATAATTCCTTATATCAATCAGGGTTCAACCAGAGAAGCATAACTCATAGACAATGTATTATTAAGAGATTTATTCTAGGAATTGGCTGATGGGATTACAAAACCTGGCTAAGCAACTCCAATATCTATGGAGCAGGCAGTCAACTGCAAGATCAAGGGCAGGCTCAAACTCATGGGCATAGTCCAAAGCTGTCATCTATAGAGGATCATGAGAAGGTTGAGACTCTGCATACATGGGCTTAAGCTGAGAGAGAATTTCTTCTCCTTTGTGGGGAGACCTCTACCCTGTTTTTTATGTGATAAAAACACCGAGAACTCTATACTTTTAACACATTTTTAAGTGCATAATATAGTAATATTAATCATAGGCTCAGTGTTATACAGCAGATCTACAGAACTTATTCATACCTTGTATAAATGGAACTAGAGAGTTTTGATAGGATTGCTTTGAATTTGTATATCAACTTCACCAGGATGGTTATTTTAACAATATTAAGTCTTCCAGTATAAAAACAAAGAAGCAAAACAAAACAAAACAAAAACAACAAAAAACTAAAGACCAGTATCACCAATGAACACACATGAAACTATCTTTGATAAGACAGCAACAGGGGCACCTGGGTGGCTCAGTGGGTTAAGGCCTCTGCCTTTGGCTCAGGTAATGATCCCAGCATCCTGGGATCAAGCCCCACATCGGGCTCTCCGCACAGCTGGGAGCCTGCTTCCCTTCCTCTCTCTCTGCCTTCCTCTCTGCCTACTTGTGATCTCTGTCAAATAAATAAATAAAATATTAAAAAAAAAACAGCAACAAACAGAATTCAGCAGCACCATGAAAGATCATACTCCATGACCAAGTCATATTTGTCCCTGGGATACAATGATGGCTTAACATGCAAATCTTTTAATGTGATATAATTAAATGAAAGATAGAAATCACATCATCATATCTATAAATGCAGAAAAAAGGATTTGACACAATTTATCATTTTTTCCTGATAAAAAACTCATATCAAACTCTGTATAGAAGGAATTTACCTGGACGTAATAAATACTATCTATGAAAAGGCCTACAGCTAACATCATACTCATAGGGGAATAACTAAAAGCTTTTTCTCATAGATCAATGACAAGAAAAGGATGCACATTTTCACCACTTCTATTCAGCATAATAGTGGAAGTCCTAGCGAGAGAAAATTAGGCAAGAAAAAAAAAAGGCATCCAAATGGGAAAGGAAGAAGTAAAATTATTTCTGTTTGTAGATGCCATTATTTTATATATAGAAAACCTTAAAGACTCCACAGGAAAAAAAAAAAGCTTTTCTATCTAATAAATGAATTCAGTAGAGTTGAAGGGTACAAAATCAACATACAAAAATCAGTTGTGTTTCTATAAACTAACAATGAACTATCTGAAAAATAAATGAAGCAAACAGTCCCAATTATAATCACATCAAAATGGATGTGATTATACTTAGGAATAAACCAAGGAAGTGAGAGACCATACACCAAAAACTATAAAATCTTGCTGAAAGAAATTAAAGAACACATAAATAAATAGACAATATTGTTAAAATGTCCATTTTACCCAATGTTAGCTATAGATTTAATGTGAACTTATCAAAATTCTAATGGTATTTTTTTACCAAAATAGAATTAGCAATCCTAAAATTCATGTGGAACCACAAAAGACCCATCATAGCTAAAGATATTTGAGAGAGGAGAACAAAGCTGAAGGTATCATGTGAAAATATATTACAAATCTACATGAATTAAAACACTATGGTACTGGCATAAATATAGGACATAGGCCAATGGAATAAGATAGAGAGCTTTGAAATAAACCCACACATATACAGTTAATGTATTTTTTGCAATAGTACCAAGAATACACAATTGGGAAAGGAGTTTTCTTCAATAAATGGTGCTGGGAAAACTGGACATCCACATGCAAAAAAATGAAATTGAATTCCTACATTATACCATACATGAAAATTAACTCAAAATGTTTCAAAGACATGATTGTATGACCCAAAACTGTGAAACTCCTAGAAGAAAACATAGGGAAAGAGCTTCTTGGCATTGATCTTGGTAATGATTTTTTTGGATATGATACCAGAAGCACAGTCAACAAAACAAAACTACAGAAAAATAAAATGCTTTTGCACAGCAAAGGAACAGAATGAAAAGGCAACCTATGGCATACGAAATATTTGCAAATTATATATTTGATAGAAGGTTAATTTCCAAAATATATAAGGAACTCTTACAACTCAATAGCAAAATATCAAATAACTTAATTTTAAAAATGGACAAAGGACTTAAATAGATATTTCTGTTCCTTCATTACTTTTTGCTATTGATTTTTTTCTTCCTTTTGAGACTTAAAAAAATCTTATTGTAATCTCTTACCTTTAGACTCATTAATTCCTTGTCTATGTATTTGCTTGTGGTTGAGAAATAGTTTTCCACTTCACACCATACTTTATTCATCCATTCTTCATTTAGCAACTTCTTAACTCATGTTCTCATTTTTTTGCCTTTGTTTACTATGAAATGCATTGCTATAGCTAAATATTTGTTCAAGTGCTCACCATTTATTTATTTATTTGCTTTTCAAGACTTTTGCTATATCTTGCCAAAATTACCCTTTCAGAAAAGTTGTACTAATTTTACATTTAAGAAAGGTCTATGTTTTTATAACAGAATCATGTATTTTTATGTTATAGGCTTTGAAATTTCTGAAAACCAGAAGAGGCAGGCTGCAATGACTGTGAGAAAAGTCCCTAAACAAAAAGGTAAAGCTGCCTATAACCACCACCACCCCAGCAGCCCCACTTACTCTCTTGGTGAGACTGGGAAGCCATAAACTATGTGAATTGCATATCCGTAGGTTTGTTTCCAGGCTGACGTTCACTTAGTGTGTTGGTGAGTGTTTGGGTTTCCAGGTGTCCCTGATGAGAGGTGGCAAATGGTCTTAAAGACATAAGGCTTAAGAGTAAATACTGTAAGGTAGTTAGGTCCAAATCTATTTCTTTTCCTTTTTACATAAATAAAAGAGAGAGGAAAAACTAAACTTTATTCACAATTTAGAGACAGACCATAATTGTAAATTTTATTAATAAGTATATTTGGAATATGTATATGATTTTCTTTCATTTGCTTGTGGGCACTTTCAAGATTAGGAGTCTCAAATCAGAATGGAGAACTTCATACTGAACCAAGACAGAAGATTAAGATATTCATTTTCTTTCTCTGAGCCATAAACTAAAGTACTTTAAAAAGGGAGTACTTCACCTGGGAGGCTCAGTCTGTTGATTGTCTTACTCTTGATTTTGGCTCAGGTCATGATCCTCAGGTCTTAAGATCGAGCCCCACATTGGGCTCCATACTGGGTTTGGAGCCTGCTTGAAATACTCTGTCCCTCTCTCTCTGACCCTCCCTTCCCACCCTACCCCTATGTGCCCCCACACTAGCGCTCTCTCTCTCTAAAAAAAAAAAAAAGGAAAATACCTTAATACCTTAAGAATCAATTTTATTATCAAATGAAGCTTTATTTTCTCATTTTTTATGAACTAGACATAATTAAAATGCTTAGTTGAACAAAAGAAAGTAATTCATGAAGTCTCTTCAGTACCAGTCATTTTATTTTATGTAAGTTCTTTAATTTTATCTTTATGCTACTTCTGAAAAGGAAGGATTATTAGCCTCATTTTCAGATGACAAAACAAGATCTTTGGGGTGAAGTGATTGTGAACTTAACTCATCTTGATTTTAAGTACACTGTTCTTACCTCACTATCTCAGGGTTCTGCAGGCTCTCTGTGCTGGGAAAGAACAGCTCACTTTTTTGTCTCACCTCAATTACTGACAGTTGCTTCTGTTACTGACCATCACTGTCATTTTCCCCATGTGTAGGTGATCTTAATGAGACCTCACTTTCCCCAGGCCCTTCCTCTGCTTTCTCAGTAGTCTCTTTAGTTCAGAATGAGTCACCATACAAAATGATTAGATTCAAGTTGCCTGAAATTCCAGTGACCACATAAAGCACCCTTAATTATTGCCGAATGAAACTCCTTTCCACTAAGGAAGCTGTGTGCCTGTGAATATCTGATCTCCAATTAAACAGCGCACCTAGCTGGGGCCCCTCTGGCTAGACATGTCTTTATTTTAACTGTTATTGTTTCTTGCCCTTGGGAGGCACTCACCAGCTCTTTCTCTCATCATGGAAATGTGATTATCTTCAGAAAGGGAATTAAAGGCAATCACTCCTAACCTCCTGGGAATGAAAACATGAGAAATAGTGTTGGAAAGCTATCTGGAGTTAATGTCAGTGGAGATATGATCTGGATGACTAGGGAAGCCCTATGAGAGACTGTGCTCCTTCCTTAGACATAGATATAAGCAGAACAGAATCCCAGCCAGTTGGGGAATCCTCAAGCTATAAAGAGGCTACTGTCCTAATGGCTTCCTGTTTCCTGGAGGCTCTTAAACCTTGAGCTTCTCTTACTCTGACCCCCTCCACCGTCCTCACCACACTGACATTCATGATGGGATGGGACACATTTACCTCAATTCAGACTCCCACAAGCCTACCTGAGGCTGGCTATGTGTGTGTGTGTGTGTGTGTGTGTGTGTGTGTGTGTGTGTGTTGTGTTTTTTGTTGTTTATTTTTTTGTTTGTTTGCTTTCACTATGAACTCTTAAAGCACAAGAACAACCATAAAACAATAAATCGGAAAATAATCTAGCTCACTCATACCAAGCTTTTGTGTCAGGTTCCTTTTCCACCTGTCTAGTCACAAGGCTATTCCTTTCAGGTCCTCTCTTACTCCCCAGTATCTAAACATTGGTTCACATGGGCAACTTTCCACCTTAAACGATTCTAAAGTTTTCAAACTCATTTATTTTCAAACCTTGCAAAATTCCTACAAATCTCCTTCTTTATTTCTATTTCTAGTTTTCAAGACTCTCCTAGTCCAGGACTATAATGACTGATATATTTTGAGACTCAAGGTAACTACACATGTGGAAACAATTGTCAAACCTAGGAATTCAATAGTTTTGTACATGGGAAGAACAAGAAGGGAATTCTTCCAGATACCCATAAAAGCCAGTTTCTTTAACCCTTCCAGTGACCGCTTCCTGGAAGTGATGGGAACATTGTTGTTAACATTTCTCTAAGGCAGATGTAATTGCATAGGAAATTATTCTAGTGTTCTCTTCTGACCTCATCTATAATGCCATGGGTCCTTATCAACTCCTCTGGAGGAGGGGAAGTCTATCTGTAAGATAAGCAAAGAGGACAAAGCCTAGCTCCAAGGAAGGCATTTTTACTTTATGTTTACCTTTTATACTGTCTTAGTTTTAAGAACTGATGTATAACATATTGGAATTTTAATACTAATTGCTAGTCTATCAACCCATTTCAGTCTGTCATCATGGAGCTACATAGGGCCATGAGCAAAGATCCCATCTCCAGAGGCTATAGGACCATCTCAAAAATCAAATGAACATCCTAAAGTAACTAAAATAATCTTGAAAAAGAAGAGTAAAGTTGGGGTGCTCAGTCTATACTGATTTTGACACAAATTATATGGGTACAATAACCAAGACAGTGTGGTATTGGGAGAAGGATAGACATATTGTATTAGTGGAAGAGAACAGAGAAACCAGAAATAGACCTATACAAATATACCCAAGTAATTTTTGATAAAGATGCAGAAGAAATTTAGTGGAGGAAGGGTAGTCTTTTTAACAGATGCTGCCTCAGCCATAGATCAAAAATAAATTTCAACCTAAACTCATACCTTACAAAAATGAACTCAAAATACATAATGGGCTTAAATTTAAAGCTACAAAACTTTTTTTTTTAAGGAGAAAATCTTCATCTAGGGCTAGACAAAGAAGTTCTTAGACTTCATAACAAAAGCTTGAACCATGAAATGAAAAATTGATAAAATGGACCTCATCAAAATAGACATTTTTCCTCTATGAAAGATCACATGAAGAGGAGGAAAAGACAAGTTATAGGCTAGGAAAAATATTTGCAAACCATGTATCTGAGAAAAACACTATTATCTAGAATATATAAAAAACTATCAAAACTCAACAGTAAAAAAAAATACACACTCCAATTAGAAAATGGGCAAAAGATGGATATTTTACTGCAGAGGTTTATATGGATGACAGTTAAGCACATGAAAAGGTGTTCAACACTATTAGTCATTGGAGAAATGCAAATGAAAACAACAATGAGATGCCACTATATACCTCTTAAAAGGGCTAAAATAAAAAATAGTGACAACACCAAAAGTTTTAGAGAAGTTTTAGAGATGTTTTAGAGTTTAGCAAAGTTTTAGAGAAGCTCAATCATTTATACCTTGCTGGTGAGAATCCTAAATGGTAGAGCCACTCTGGAAAATAGTAAGATGGTTTCTTAAGACACAAAACATACCACTACCATATAACCCAGAAAGTATACCTGGGTAGTTGTCCCAGAGAAATGAAAAATTACTTTTACAAAAAAACAAAAAACAAACAAACAAACAAAAAACCTCTATATGTTAAATAATTTGAATTTAAATAAAATCTTGGAGGAAAAAAAACTCTAAACAAATGTTTATAGCAGCTTTGTTCATGATAGCCCAATGTGGAAAGATCCCAGATGTCTTTCAGTGCGTGAGTAATTATGGAATATCCATACCATGGAGTATTACTCATGAATAAAATGAGCCAGCTATTGGTACATGCAACAACTTGGGTGAATATCCAAAGAATTACGCTGAGTGAGAAAAGCCAATCCCCAAAAGTCTCATATGGTATGATTCCATTTATATAACGTTCTTGAAACATTGTCATTTACTAATGGGGAACAGATTAGTGATTGCCAATGGTTAAGGGGGAGTGGAGAGGTCAGAAGAGAAATAAGTGTGGTTATGGAAGAGTAACTAGTGATTTCCTGATACAGAAATGTCCTATCTCTTTTCTGTGTCCTGTAACAATGTTAATATCCTAGCTGTAATATTGTACTACAGTTTTGCAAAATGTTATCATGGAAGAAATTGAGCAAAAGCTGCAAAGCATATCTCTGTATTGTTTCTTACAACTGCATGTAAACCTGCAATACTTTCAAAATAAAAAGCTTAATTGAGAAATTAAAATGAACACCTCCCAGACTTTCTCCCTAGCATTCTCATATCAGTTGTTGGCACCCAGTACACTCATATTTCTGACACTCACCACCTTTGAAAATTGCCTGTTAGAGGACATCATCAAAATGGCAGAATAATTTTCTACTGTCTTCCCCCTAAAAAAAAAATGATTTTGACAGTCACCCACAGATGAGTGTGCTTTTGTGAAAGTTCAGAAGTCCAGCAGAAAAGTTCCAGACTACCCATGGAGAAAAAAAAAAAAAAAAAAAAAACACGCAAACAACCTTGATTAGATGCATAGGAAAAAAGGTCAGTCAATAAAGACTAGAGGAAGTGAATGCTTTTTCAAATGCAAAGACAGCAACCCAAGACTACAAGGAACATGAAAAATTAAGGAAACTTGATATTACCAAAGGAACGCATTTTTTTATAAACGAACCCCCCAAAGATACGGAGATATGCAATTTTTTCCAGTAAACATTTCAAAATAGTTTTTTAAAGGAAGTTCAGTGTGCTATAAGAAAGCATAGAGAGACAATTCAACAAATTCAGGAAAACAGTACACAAAACAAGAAATTTAACAGAGACTAAAAATCACAAGAACCAAACAGAAATTATAGAGCTGAAGAATACAATGAATGAAATG